GCCGAATAAAAGTTGTGTAGCACTCTTGTGTAAGCTTAGCAATTTAAACACATGTTAAACAGTTTATAATAATAACTTCTATAATGCTGAGACATTTGCAAAACTCTTTTCCAGCCTTTACAGAATTGGTGGCTTTTTCAAATAAAAACAATAATTTTTCGGTAAATAGAATACTTCGTGGGTTGAGAACATGAATGGATCGTAGAAAGACTTCGCTTTACCGTTTTATGTTTATGAATGATATTTATAGTGGTATATGCTACATTCTACTAAGATCCATCATGCAAACAAATTACTATCATCATTTGGAGGTATCTTGCAACGTATGGTTATCTATTTCAGCACTTTTTTATGTTCCCGCACTCTATACGATGGATATCATTATGCCACTAATATCGTTTTTTATTTCTGTTTTATTTGATCCCATCTTCATGTTTACTGTGCGGATCCCAGTATTTCTTACATTCGATTCGTTTCCTCGCGTCCATTGTCCACGAAGGTCTTCCTGGCTTCGGTTGCTGCTTGAGGATTTCCACTTCATTTTGAATGTTGTAAAATGCTGGTCGAGCAATTCTTTCTAGGGTCTTGAAATAGCTGGGCTGAAGCGTTCCCAATTGGGTTGAAGAGAGTAATTTTTTTCTCAGACAAGTCCGGTATCAACTTCCCAACCCCGGTAGGATGAGTGACTTGGTTGGCCCGGAGGGAAATCGAACGAGCACCATGTTCGTAATGATGGACACCACTGCCGCTGTGCTATCCGCCCCTCACTAATATCACTATATATAATACATCATTATGTGTAATAATACCATCTACTATATCGATTAGAATTGAGACAGTAGCCATTCAATTGGTGCTCAAATTTCTGATTAGTGAACTCGTTCGGAAAACGGTTTTTTGTAGATTTCTAAGTTCAGCATAGAGCTTTCCAGACTGACGCAAATTGCAAAGATCCTTGTTCTAAAAGCTATCAACTGATGACAAAAACTACGGAGAAATTATTTTATGTGTTAAAACAAACCACCGGAAAGAAAGTGAGACCTGTAGTTGTCTTACCTGCTACTCTTGCAAAACCATTATGACACGTATAGATGTCACCTGTCGCGAGAATGTTGAGGAGTACATATGAGCTTTCGATAACATTAACTTATAATAACCGCACAACAGCGTTAATGTGTTAAAAGGTGCATGAGAGCAGAATGAGGTTAATTACAGTAGTGGCCACGTGCTGGAAGAATCAACAATTTGGATCATCTGCATGGAGTAAAGCATAACATAAGCGGGAGGACCATAAGGGCGCTAGCCAGACGAATAAATTAGAGACTCACAATGCCATTGAAATGTATCCAGAAGAATTCGATATTTCTGCGTACCTTCTGAATACCCCAGAAAACATTCGTCGACTACCACTTCTTTATGGTTCGTAGAAACTTCATACAAAGAAGGACGGATGTTCCAAAGAAATTTTTCCCATTTGTGTTATGCGAATGCTTTGAACGAGATTACACACAGAAAGGTTTGCTAACAGAAAGAGGTCAGTTAGACAAAGACTAGTTATTTGCAAATAATATTACTCTGAATGAGATGGAAGCATTTACATCGAAGAAGAGTTCCATGTGACACGAAAAAAGTGCGTGTATTCAACAACTGATATAAATACTATAGAAACATGCAGTGGCATGAAAGAATAGAAATTATTCGGAGAATAACCGTTACGAAACGGACATACAACAATGGTAGAACAATTCTTCTTTTAACAAAAAGAGGATGAAGCTCTCGGCATTAGTCAATTCGTAAAGGACGGGACATGCACTCGACTTCACCAACCATCGTTAGAGGTGATTGAATGCGTATATGTCCTATGCCATTACAATGACTCGTGTTGGCTCACCGATGTATCGAGTCAGTGTTGCAGCTACAGATGTGATAGGAATTTACAAAGCCAAAGCGATGAAAGGCCTGCTGTTCATGTGGCGCGGGATCGATCCAATGTGTATTGCAGGGCACATATACACATCTACATCTTGCACCACACACGTCCTTTACTTTTGAGTAGTCCTTAATAAATAGTGTTGTGTTAACCATTTACGTTTCAAAAATCCAAGTTATCCATCTGGATTTCTAGATGACTCAGCGAATTTTTCCTTACTAATTATGCAAAACAGTTTTGGTTGAGAAGTCATTATATCAGAAGGTTTTGCTCTCAACTTGAAGCAGATAATTCAAATTTGGGTATAAAATTTCACATCTTTTTCAACGGAGTCTGGAAATGTAAATGTTGATATTTTAGTTGCTTAGATACTTAGTTGAGACGCCTCCATAGGTTGTGTGCGTCCAAATACTTCCAAATACGCTATTTTCATTGGCTTGCGCTATCGTCTACGAGATTGCCAGGATTGGGTGTGGGCTGAAATAGAAGTTGAAGATTTGTGGGTTAAGAAGTCTCAGCGAGACTCTGAATGCTAGAACAATTTTCGTTGCGAATCCGAAATAAATTTTTTGATGGTCACGAAATCAAACCGAGAACCCTTTTTGATCACAGTAATCCTTGCTGCTTTGTGACTCGGGTTCTTCTGGGTAATGTAATTCATGTGGATAATCCTTCACCGGAAACAGTAAAAACAAAGGATCTTACTCATGTGCCACTAAAACACCCATCATTGAGATGGAAAGCTCGTCGTTATCTGTGGAAGTTAAACGATGCCGAAAACTAAGTGGACTCCGCTGACCATCCCTACTTGAAACTCATAGACTTGTTAGAAACCCTAGTGATTATTTTCTTGTTTTTTATTTACTTGGTGACTTGGATGGCCCGTCCTTATTAATTGTGGGAGCACAAACAAAATTTCCATTTTTTAGTGTTTTGCTGGTTTAACCATTGTGTTTTCCTGGAGTTCCGAGGTCAGTCTAGCCAAGGTCTGCTTCAGGTCGACACCACCATAAGCAGTCATCGTCATTGTAGATCACAGAGAGATTTGCCACCAAGCGGCTAGTTTGATATCAAGACGGTGATGGATCCTGGTATGAGTTTATTTCTAGTTGGGCCTCCTGATGGAAACGCCGGACTCCTGAGCTTTGGAGACTCTGCCAGGGAATGAATCATCCACTGTACATCGCAGCCCGACTCCCAGGAACACCTCCCAGCCACGATGGGGTGGTAAACCTTTGGAAAGTGTTTTCCACTACCTCCATGTAAAAAGATAAAGCCTTAAGCTTTAATAACTTTATGAGGTATGCACCATACATTGAACTCCATTCCTAGCGTCGTTGGGTTGACTGAGTAAATGCATACATTAGAGGTAAATGAATACATATGTGGCCTATACAACGCCTCGCGGTGGCGTACCGATGTATCGAGCAAGTGGTGCTATCCACCCAGACAGGTCTGATACTAATATGCCGACCGTGGAGGGATGGAGGGCTTAGTGAGCTTATGGCGCAGGGTCAAACTCATGCATAATGCAGGACTCCTCTAAGCACTGCGCTACAAGCGCCAGAAGTTTAGAGAATTACTGATTAAAAAAGTGCCACACGGAAAATTAATCTTTGCGGTCTTCGCAATCGATATTAGAAGCTTATCTGACACTGGAGAAGAAAATAGTATAGATAATAATGTAATAATAATAATAATAATAATAATGCGCGTATAGTGCTGTTGTTGGAGGTGCTCCCTGCACTTTGGACAGACTAGGCCGCCACCACTCAGGAGTATCGGAAAATTGCTGGCAGGCTTGTTTGGGAGGATAAAACACTGACTTGACACATTACTAGACTACCATGACTCATTATACAGACCAGCTATGAATTCGGTGATTGGTGAAGTCGAATGCATAGCGTTTTCCTCAGAGATTGTTCAACGCCGAGAGTTTCAATACGTCCTGCTACTTATCGCTACGTGTTATTCAGGGTTCTCCATCATCTGGCGAGGTTATGATTTAAAGAGAAAAGTGGTTGCTATTAAGCCGCTCATTCGTTCATTGAAGAGCATTCTATTGGATGACAGTTACAAGACAACGAAATGAATGAAAGAATTGCTGGAATCCGTACGATGTATGAAAACGGGCCATCTAAGCATAAAACTAGTTTGCATGTTTACGCAGACATATGGAAAATCGCGTAGGACATTTCGCCATCAAAATATGAGTGATATGAACAACGGTACATTCGGGAGGACCAAAGCTCTTCCTAAGAGTTTATAGGCAAACGGGATTTTTCACGAATGTTTCTGTTCTTTTTAATGAAAAGCAGTAGACCAAATAAATACTTCGCTTTATTTTTAAGCTTTAAACAGCACTTCAACGGAGAACAACCCTATATGAATGTTTCTTAAACATGATTGCTGAAGAGGTATGCCTAGGTAACTTAGAAAAAGCCAAAACAATGTATCACTTTATAACGTTATATGGGCCTTATTTCAGACTTGTTACCCGTTTTTACAGTGAATTTCGGCACTTAAATTAGGAAAGAACGACGGTATTGCAGTTATAGGACTGAGTAGTTATAAATAATAAATTAAACAAATACAGTATTATTTTCACAACGAAGAGACACAGTCTAAAGAGTGCTGCTAAATTTCTGCATCTCTAACTCCTAACTGTGAAATCGAACGTAAAGTTCGGCACAGTTTAACATTGTACTTGAAGAACGAGCATGAGTAACAACAATGTTAATAACAGATAAGACAATAAGTTTGTACAGAGAAAGACTGGATCACGGTCACACCAATTACAGTAGCGGTGTGAACATTCTAACAGTCTTAAAACCTCAAACAATACCTAGGAAAAAATGTGTGAAATCTTAATGGTAAGCATTTACTGAAAAACGCTGCTCGATAGCTATGAGTTGTGTTACTGACGAGGTTCATTAAAATAAGCAACAGCATCCCGTTAAAGTAAATTAGTACGGCCTGAATTCGACTGGTATTGACAACATTATGAGAAGGTTTTGACGATTCGTGTTCGGTAGCGCTATTCATCACAAATTGTTTTGCAGATTTCCCATTACTTATTTGGTCCTCTCTTCTGGACCCATTTCACATAAACATCATTGTATTCCGATGAATGATGTCGCATCAGATGTCTCATGAAATTTGATGAACACGGGCTCTTAACAACACCAGTACAGATTCCACATTGGGCATTACCATCAGCGGTTCGTTTGAAATATTCCCAGACAGGATGTTCGGTTTTCCTGGAAACGAATAATTTTTTATCATATTCGAATTTTCTCTAACACAGTGCATTGCAGCAGCCAATGAAATGGAAGGAAGAAAAATGCTGTAAACATGAAGGAAATTCTGATGAATATAGTTAAGACATTGACAGCACTAAGAAGAGAACTGAGAACGAAAAGGCAGATTTTGATCGAAAAAGATCTTCACTCCGTTTCTAAAAACGAGGTAGGTATTTCTTAAGTGATTCACAAGAAAGTAAACAAATCGTTAAAGTTGTTATTTGGTAGAAATAATCCAGAGAAGTCCCACCATAGCTTTTAAACTCATATAGAGAAAATGATGTGTCTAAAGGGCAAAAAATTGGGTCATGCAGCTTTCTTAGTAGATAACAACAAACTTTTAGCAAGCATATCTCAGCTCATTGCGAAAGTTAAGGAACCTGACAACCTTTTACGGATTCGACATTAATTCGACGTCGAGCATGATTGGAGCTGATTAAATGCATATCTGCCTTATACAATGAGTTGCGGTGTTCTACCGTTATAACAGGACAATGATGTTACCCTCTCAAAGAGCTTTGCTAGCAATATATCGACTTCAGAGAGAGTGAAAATGATGAGCGCTAGGTGTCGGGTCGAACTAACTACCACGTCTGCATTGCAGGGCACTTCTAATCACTATGCTAACGGTTGCTGTTATTCATATCACAAAGAACCTATCAATTTTGCTAGCATATTAGAAGAAATCGAAACATATCGACTATAATTTAGGAAGCAGTGTGACATTTTTGTCCCGTAAAGCAACGACATCGATATTTTCCTAACAAATACTGACTGGTTAGAAAATCACTTATATGATCATTTTCCCCACATTAATGTGCGATGCTGAAAAGGTGCAGAGGTCAACCATAGTCATTGATCAAATTCGACCTTTGTTTCTTATTGCGTTGACCCACTTAGGATCTGGAAAAAACGAGTGACAAATTGTTTAGAACATTATCGAAACCAGATGTTCGAAGTTTCTAGCCGCGTCGTCACGTTCATATCGGGATTTTTAACCTGATTCTTTCAATGCGAGCTATATGTAGCGCAATGATTAGAGGGGCCATGTAACACACACGAAGTCGATTGATCTCTTCTCAACAAAAGTGGAAAATGGGTTACACATTTGCCTGAAAGTGTAAAAACGTTGACTTCGTGAAAGTATAGGACGAAAAGATTGGATGAATAGGCCCACAGAAGTCACTGTGTAGGCTGAATATGCATTCAATCATCTTTACAGTGCCGCGAAGGGGGCGAATTAATAGCCTATCCTTTAGCAATTAGTCAACTCCAAATACCCTATCTTTATCTTTTGATGAAGAATATCTGTAAGAATGCAGAATGCCCACTTCAGATTCGTAGACACGCTCACCTGTTTCGTTTCATGTATGGTTTCTCGACTACTCCACCGGACGTGGTTGGAGTGATCGCATTCCATCCATTGCTAGACGGAGATCCATTACAACCGTGTAAAACTGAAAAAAATTTTATAACATAAGTACCATTAGAAGCCAAATAGTTAAGTTGGATGTTTGCCAATACAGCGAAAACGTTCGTAGCGTTATGTTGGTTGACGGGAATTCATGCTTAGAAGGCTTTCCTACGTTATCTGTCATTTTTCGTAAGCCGGTGCAACTACAAGTGGCTGTAGAAACGCGGAATGTAGCCATATAAGTCTCTCAGGAGTCGGAGTTTGATTACAGATTGCACATACCTCCAGTCATGTCGATTCCAGAGGAAGTAGGGTCATGGGTGGTTGTCCACTGATTCCACTGACTTCGTTGCCAGACAAATGAGTGCTCCTTTAAATTAATAAACATTAAATCTATAAATTAAGAGGTTGCTATGGTTGTTTTGCAATTTCTTCTACTGTAATTTCATTTGGATTGAAAAACGCATGAAACAATAGACGGTGTTTTTTCGCAGTCATAATTTTTATGCCTTTTTCTTTCATTGCATTAAAGCTATTCCATTCCATCCGTGTAAAGAGAATAGGAAATGAATAAGAAGAAAAACAGAAAGCTTTTTTTTCTAAAGAAAATATGTTGACCAAAATTTAAAAGTGCAAAATGAAAGGCTGCTCCACTTCCCTGCAAAATTAAGGTAGTAGATTTCCTACTAATTTATGTTCACTGCGATGGACGACAAAATCTTGATTATTGTTGTAGGTTTCAAATCTCAGTTTTCTTGCAAGGTAACCTTAGTTACTTGATACTTGATTGGCCCGTACTCACGGCTTGTGCGGACCCCATCAGTCTCCATTCTTCGGAGATTTGCTGGTTAAGTCACTGTGGCTCTCTCGAATCCTGAGGTCAGCCTGGCCAAAGTCTGCCCCAGGTATTCATCACCACAGGCCGTCGCAGCCCTTGTGGATCAGAGGGAGATTTACCACCACGCGACGTTGATACCAGGACGGTGGTGGATCTTGGTATAGGAGCTAGGCTTCCTGATTTGGAGACCCTACTAGGGGATGAATCACTGCTGTACATTGCAGTCCGACACCCAGGAACACCTCCCAGCCACAATGAGGCGGTAAACCGTTGGGAGCGCAAGGTATTCTAATAAATGCATTTATAAAAGTGGATAAAAATTAACTATAGCATGACACACACACTTGCCGGTCGTAGCTCGTACAGTTCCTCAACACATCATCACGATCGAATTGCGAGTATAATTGTTGTGCGTAGTTTTCTGATTTCACATAATGATTGTTCTTTGAGAGAATACACGATTGATTATGCGAATCTGGTGACGACACCCCACTTGCCAGTGGTCCTTTCTGCTGTCTGGAAAGTTGTGTTGAAATTGATTGAAATCGCCGCTCACAACATCAAGTTTTAGTCAGTTCTACATTGGACTTCTTTGAGCAAAATATAAGAACCAATTCCCACGACCGACTTTCTATTAACCTCGGTATTGATCAAATTTTTTCAAGTTCTGGGTATCTGTTAGGATCATTTTTGAATGTGTTTCATACTCAGTTTTTTGAAGAAGACGTTCTGCTTCATCCTTAATCAAACTCGCTGTTAGGCTTAGTTTTTTTAGATAATTTTCCACTAGTTGAGATAACCAGGATAGATGAGGACTTGCCGATCGTTAAACGAGTCTTGGCGAAGGCCAGTAAAAAGAAAAGGATCGCAGGGCCGAGAAAATTGGAGTTTATTATCTAATGATTTATATTTCGATTATCGAATTTCTCTATGGGATGCAGTTGCGAAATGATGAAAGCCTAGATAACCTGACTTTCGCACGTATTTCACTGAATGCATTTCTGCTTAAACGGGTCCATAGCAACAAACACATTGAGGAATTTTATCCCGCTTCAGAAAGCAAACTGTGAGATTAAGCCCTTAAGTAGACTAGAAGAACTCTATTTAGACCTGACTTCAAAATTACGTGTTTCGCATAAGAGCTCTTCCATAATGCAGTTTATCACAAAATCTTTAACATATTCGTAACTGTTATAGGGTTATTCGATAACTACATTATCTGAGAACTTGGGGACTTCGCGACAGACGTATGCAAATCTCTGTGGGGTTCACTTTCTCAAATAATGCAATTTACTAAGGAATAAAATATCTGCTTTCAAAGGTGACAGTGCTACACAATCATCTGCTATCCATACGAATCTTAGCTTAGTTACCGAGCTAATCAAAATTGCTTACCGATATTGTTTAATTTGCACAATTAATTGTTGATAGTCATTTTGATGATGTCGTTCAAGATGTTTTGTCATATTCGTCGCACAAGCAGATTTTACTACCTGAAATCAAATCTGAACTAGCTCAAACTATCCATAAGTTGCGTTCATTCATTTACATATCCTGCCTTTATATATACGGATTTCTGCACTTCCTTCATGCTCCCTGTTACCTTGCATCCGTTGTCAACGAAAGACTCCGGATTTTATTACAGATTCAACGGCTACCACCTATTGAGGATACCACCTGCTTACTGACCGAAGAAAGATGACGGTCTTAGCTACGTCCAGGCAGGGATCGAGCGACTCACCATTGCACATCATCATTAATTACAGCATTTTCCATGCTGGGTAAAGTTTACAACCATTGAAATTTTCACACATTTTTAAAATCATTTTTCCTCTTCTCACTTCCATAACCGCCGATAGTCTACCTTTTCGCAGTTTTTGAAGGATGCTATTGGATGCCGAATTAAGATATAGTGTCAGCCAATGTAAGAAGGAGTGCAACATTTCGAATCCCGAATCTCGTACGTGAGCAAGCCTATGCCACGACCAGTGAAATTAGAAAACTTCATAGAGAGTGGACGCGTGTGGCGCAGTGGTCGCAGACGCCCTGCAACATACACGTGAAATCGATCGCTGTCCTCATGGCCCACCAAGCTTCCCATCCCTCCGGGGTTGGTTGGGATACTAAACTTGTTTGGCAGGAGAGCAGCACTGGCTCGACGGATCGTTAGGCCACCGCGAGCCGTTGTAATGACCAGATATGCATTCAATCACTTCCAATCGATTCAATCCAATGAAGTCGAATGCATGGCGCATCCCTCAAGGATTGAACAACGTCGAGGGCTTTATTCTTTTAGCTTTTTTATGCATAGGAAGCGCGATGAGATTAGTGTTACTTGAACAAGCTGATCCCACCAACTAGCTTCGGTGCATCGTAGACGAGTGGAGATTTTACTAGTGGCCGAGTCAGTTACTTGATTTCTAATGTGTTTGACATTAATGCAGGCATATGAATAAACACTGTCGTCTCCTTCTTTTGTGTTTTTGGTCACTTGTTAGATGCAGTGAGCGCCCTTTTCAGTCATCTGCATTTTTAAACGAGTTCAGTACAATAGCTACTGCGACCAGTTACAGACTTAAGTCATTAAATCGTAGGCTATTATTACTCCAACATCGCAGAGACTGAATTTTTGGAAGAAAAAAGAAAAGAAAGCACCAAGCCGTGAATTTTAGTATTCTGCGGCATACGGCGCAGAGTATTTGTGAATGATGCATTCGTTTAGCTCAAATTCTATTGTGTGCAAGGTTTTCCAAATCCTAGGAGTGCAAATCTCTATGGTTCAATTTTTCGTAGTTTTCCTAAGTTTCTGAGTGAATTTAGCGCGAAAAAGAGTTTCTAGCACTTTACATAGTACTTAGTCTACTGACGGTGAAAACTTTTGACACTATCTCGTAATTTTTGAAAACGCACCAAATAGACCACTTACAAACCTAATTTTAGTACAAATAATAAAACAAAAAAATACTAAAAAAGCAGATAGGCAACAGTTATAGGAATAAAAAAAGGAAAGGCAACCATTATTTTCAGAATAAATTTGTTGGAAATTATTAGTTTCCTAACTTCCTCTAAAACTATGTTCAAGGAATGCTGATGGTTAACCAAACAGCGTCCTCTGTTTCATGGATGTTCTTAGGCTTATTGACTGTCAATTTTAAATCATCTGTTAGGAAGTGTGTTATTTCTAAAATTATCACTCGATATCTTCAACCAAAAGCAAAATGGTCGGAAAGTGAGGGAGGGGAAGGGGGGTAGGTTGGAAAAGGAGAAAATTTTAAACAATTTGCTTTTTCGTTTGTGTCGTTTCACTAATCTTTCATCGGTCATTTGACGAGTATCTCCCATTTTCATGAATGAAAAGAGATGACCTAAGCATACACAGAACAAACGGTCCTAAGAACGTTTTGCTTGAATATGATGACAAATGCAGAACTCTGAAAGAGTAAATTCTGAAAAAAGAAACCACATTGAGACTGAAAATGATCATGAGAAATTGGTTAACTTACCATGGAAAGAAGAAACAGAATGGGAAAGAGGGAGGCACGTATGGGAAAGGAAAACGGAAGAAAGAGGAAAAAAAGATGTAAACGGAAGAGTGGCAGAGGTAGAGAGGCATAAAGAGAGAGAGAGAGAGGGAGAAGGGAAGAGAAGAAGTACAAAAGAAAAAGAGCTAAAAAGAGAGAGTAAAGGTGAATGAGAAACAGTGAATGAGAAACAGTGAATGAGAAACAGAGATGGGGATTTCCATAGTTACAGAGCATTCTGGTCGCATGCTTCTGCAGCTCATTTTACGTCACTAAAAATAACCCTCTGAAGAAGGAATGTGGCAAATTGACAAATTTTTTTATAGCAGATATTTTTATATAGACATAGCAATATCAGGATTGGTTTATGAATTCTAGGCAGCGGCACATGCCTAGTATCTTACTGTGAAGGATCTAGATGATTAACCTTCGTTTTCCGGCTTCTTGTCGTCTTCTCGTTTTTTGTTGCTTTTTACATGTTTTGGTATCACCGAATGAAAAATCCCCTACGTGTTGAGTACAGCAGTGACTAAGCGACCGTGAGCGGCGATGTTATTTAATAGGTCACTCGAACTGTTTCAGATAACACCGAGAAGGTCGTGTCTTAATGAATGAAATCAACTCGCCAACGGCCGTACGTGTATCTCAGTGCCTCGTCGACCACCACCTTTATCGAGATGTTTCGCAAATTCGAAGAAAAGTAGATGAATATAGAAATGTTGAACAACCTTTATAAAACACAAGGATCAGTCATGATATGACGCTAAAGAAGAGGTAACGCAGAAAAATAATGAGTTGGATGTAGAGCGATGGATGACCGTTGATTAAACAACGTCGTAAAACAGATCAAGAAGGTAGAATGCAATAAAAATGGTTGAATGAGGAAAATTTTTTCCTGTACAAAAAGAAGTTTTTTCTTTTCTTTTTTTTCCTTTTTCACCAATTAGCATATCACAGACTGTCAATTGGGAAATGTCACAAAAGAGAAAAAAAACACCAGTAATGCGACATAGTACGATTATGAAAAGTCGCGAAAATAAGATTATTTGATGGAGTCGAATACGAATTTTTCCTAGGAAAAACAATTTTAAAAAACATCAATTATCATATTTTAAAATGTGAAACGGAGAGCACGTAGCTCAGTGGTAAGAGGTCTCCTGCAAACATATGGAATCGACCCCGCGTCCAGGGCTCAGCAAGCCTTCCATCCCTCCGGGGTTGGCAAATTGACACCAGACCTGTCTAGGGGGATGTCAGCACTGACTCTATACATCGATAAGGCACCGCAAGTCACTTGATGACGTCGAATGCATGGCACATTTCTCAGGTATTGATCAACGCCGAAGGCTGTATCCTTTTAACATGTGAAATTCCTTAAGTAATAAACTACAGTTTCAATTTTTTTTAATTCACCGTCCAATATCTTTTTACGGTAAGATATGACATGGAATACAAGTGAAGTAGAGAATCGGATGAGAGCAAAGCGAAGCAAAGGTCTTAGTGGGTGTATTGGGTAGAACGTGAGCCCTCGGAAAGGAAGAGGTTCAACGAACGAGCACCTGAGGTTGCCAGTTTTGCTAATATTTCAGCATCGTCACGGCTGAATTGTAGTTATTTAGGGCCTTTCTGACTTAATGAGGTATTTTATCAGACATTCAGATCAACAATTTTATTAGTTCGTATGAGTTTGTTACGAGAAACGAAGTCGATTCAGTTGCTAAATGCAAAAGATGAATAAGTTTTGTTGACAAGAAACACTCCCTAAGAGGTTTTTTTGCTGTCTCAGTCCGTTTTAAGACATCAAAGAACAGTCTACAGAAATGTAGGTGATTTTTTAGATTTAAAGAAGCAACACTAATGGCTAACACAAATGAAAAAATGTCGGCAAGCGTAACTTTTTCGTGACTGGCCGATGGTCTGCTAATCAGATTAATATGGCATTCATGAAGTTTTTCACGTTCCAAATGACATCATACTCTCGAACTTGAGCTACGTTCGCTGAAAAAATCCGGATATCTTTTTCGGCTGTTCTCGACAAATCACCGCTTTTTTTCTTTGCAATGGGCTCTCTTCCTCTCTGGGAGCTCATTTTCAATAAAGTGGTACTTATACTTGTTTTTTTGTTTGTCATGAATTTTCATCTTGATTTCTACGGTACCTTTTGGTAAGTTCATGAAGTAGTGGCTAGTTGTTAAATCTTTTACGACGATTTCGATGGCGAACTGAAACGATTAATCGCCGCTAGAGTGTTTTACCTATAGTGTAGGACTTCCATTAAATTCCGTTTATAATGTCGTAATTGTTTAAAACAATAGTGCAAGAACAAGAAGGAAAAAGCCATTGCAGCTCAAATCCCTAGTCAGTTAAGAAAAATGTCCTGCGAGTCGAATCCAACCACCAAGGCGTTTCAATCAAATAACCAGCTTTACTACAATAAGTGGGGTTGTATGTACATTTGTATGTAACCCTCTGTAGGTGTGTCTTTGCGTGTGTGCGATTAGTCTATGTGCCTTTGTGTGTAAAATGAATTGTGACCTTATCATTACGATAATTCATCTTCGCTATCATAGTAAGAAGTGCTGTGGTGAGTTTTTTCTTGCACCAGTAGGAAGTTCTCTTTCATAAACCAATCAATAGTTGCATTCCCAACGATACATACAGTATGTGACAGCTCCGGATTGGATATCGGCGGCGGAACAGACGCAGAAATCTCACTACGATCTCAGCCCTCTTCCTTTTTACCCAGACTTGTCTACCGTAGCACTGCCCGCGCGACCACTAAAGAAGCATATGGACACTAGCTCTATGCATGAAGTTGAAGGACATCGATAGTTCTGTGATGGCTACACAACAATATATGATAATGAAGTTCGTCTTGCTGTGACTAATTTAAGAATTAAAAAACATCGATGGTCAACAGATGTTTCTTCAAGGCTGAAGCGATTCAGCTTTTCTCAGCAAGCTTTCTTAAAGACGTACCATTTTTCAAACCATATAAGAGTTTTGCAAGTTTTTAAACCTTTAATGGTTTTAAGCCATATTTTATAGCCTATAGACGTCAGTATCCTTCATTTTGTAAAGATTTTCTGGAGCTTTTAATTAGACATTACTTTGATACTACTATAGCGACGATCTATTAGCGTTCATTTAGAAACCACTCAGATTGCGAGTTAACTTGTTCCAAATAAGCATTACCGGTCGAATAAGTAGAAATAACCCACGGATCACCTGGGGCTAGTATGGCACAGTGGTTAAAGGCGCCGCGCAAAACAAATGGGGTCGATCTCCACACCCCAGGCTTCTTAAGTCCTCCATCCCTCTGGAGTCATTGAATGCATATCTATAATTCATATGTGAGACATATGTACGGAGCACCTCTCAGGAATTGATCAACGCCGAGAGCTTCATCCTTTCTTATCGTTAGCCCTCAGATCTGCGTTTTTCTGTGAAGTCAGGTCAATAAAACAATGACGTCCATGTTTGAGAGAACGTTCATAAGTCAACATAGATAAAAAATGTACTTACTTTATTGCAAAGTCGACATCTAACATTCTGATCGTCTAATCGAATAAAGTATCCCCAACACGGATTCTCTGTCGGACGACCGCGTTTCGCTGGCGCCACACTACCCTCTCTTCCTGCATCAGTACATCGCTCGTCTTGTTCGTATTTCACTTCTTCTTCTTTAACAAGCCGGTCCGGTTCCTACAATATCACAGAGGTACCACGATAAATAAGAATATGACGGATCAGAAAACGAAGGAAACGAAAACGGCGACGGTTATTAATGATGCTAGAAAATTTTAGAAGTAAGAAAAAAGCGGAAATTGAAATTCTCTGCGATTTCAAAGATGTCGCGAACACCGCTTAATTTAATACGGTGTGCGTTCGGTTTAGCGGGAGTGTAAAAAAAGAAGAAAAAAAATGAAAAAAAAAATGAATAAAAGGCCTTAAAAAAGGCTGAAGCAGGGATCTAAATCAATTGAGATCACAGAATTCGGCTATCCGTTTTAATCGAAAATATTGAAGGCTTACAATTTGGCTGGATACAGCTGCGTAAACAACTCAGCTAAAATTTCACAGAGCTGTCGTCACTATCGCTATCGCTTCGTAAATTCGTAACACTTACTTCAGTGTATCCTTATTGTAATAAAAATTCTGATGGTTGCTATTAAATTTCGTGACGATGATCGTTTGGAACAGCTTCAGAAGCACACATTTGCAAACGAAAAGTGTTATGATTTTTAACCGGCCAGAATTTGGAGAAACACGGATTTAATTGTTAAAATTGAATGGAAGAAGAGCTAAAGGAAAGCAAAGGTGCGCATCAGTAGATGCATAGGTGTGTGCCGTTGCGTGTCTCTGCGTGTGAGCTTATTCGTGTGTGTCTGTTTGTGTATCTCTATGTGTATTTCTGATCATGTTTGTGTTAAAATGTTTTTCAGGTAACGTATGCGTTCATGCATGTGTGTTTGTTGTTGTGCTTCTGTGCACTCGTGTTTGCCTGTGTGTTTGTGTGTGGGTTTGTGTACATGTATGTATGTGTGTTTGTGCGTGTTTATGTGTTTGCGTGAGTGTGTGTGTATGTTTGTGTATGTGTATGTGCATGTGCATGTATATATGTGTCCATACGTCTACGTGTCTTTAAGCATAAATGTAATGATGAAAAAAATTTAAGCGAAGCCCATTTTTGAAATAGTAAGACAAATAGCGAAATAAATAAAATAGAAATGTTAAAGACAGTGAAGAAAGAGAAAAAAATAATCAGTAGGTAGACATGATAAGATGAACATCAACAAGATCGTGACACTACGCTTCAATGACATTTCAATGAGAGTTTGGAAATTAGGCAAAACAGCTTCAGAGTTCTTACCTTTTCTTTTTCTGACATTTCAGTTTTTTATATATCACTTAATTTGTTTTCTAGAGCATACTTTGTGATAGAGTCGTTGTTCGTACTGCTTCGATGCGATGTCACCGTAGTCGTACTTGAGCGGTTCGTATTTCTGAGCTGTCGATAGGTCTTGATAATTAATCGCAGCTATCTGTAATAGTAAAGCTAATCAATAGAGAAAAATAAACAAAAACAAAACAGTATTTTGTCCATTATGGAGAAAAAAGCAATGTATGATTAGAAGGACAATGAGTGCTTTTAGCAATGTACTGAAAACATTAAACATAGGCGAAAACTCTTCCATTATCCAATTTTATGTCAATAAGCTCTGGAACATTGAGAAAACGGAAAATCCAATGGAAAGGTTAAGGTGGAAAACTTCTATGGAACGGTATTTATTTTGTTTGGCATGGAGTAGTTTTTACAAAAGTTAGAAATGCTTTGGACATTTTGACCAAAGAATAGATGTACAAATGATTATTATCAATGTGTTCACCAGCGCTTCATAGATGATCCTGCTAAAAACTCTTCTGAATATGACTTACCTCATGGTCATAGTTGCCATTGTCTGCCATAGGTCGGATATCATGATAGCTGGGAAACTGATGACACCATGAATTCGTGATGTCGATGTTGCCGATGGCGAGACCCGTCGGCAAGCCAACAGTGGCCGCTGAGCTTAGGGCGGCCGGCGTCGAACCGACCATCGGTCCCATCTGTAGGGCAGCTGCCGCCCCATTGCCGATTCCGCTCATCGTTAATGAGCCAGCGGTTGTCATGCTGTACGGGCGAATCGCAACTGGACATGCCGGACCGTCAGCATCGTCAGAGTTCATCACCGTGTGGAGTGCGGCCGACGAGCCCCACCACGCCCCTAATAGTCATCGCGGGCGCGCGCGCTTGATGAGGCCCTGGTCCCACACGTCATCATCGTTCACGTGCCACTCGGCGCTCACTACAGACCTCACTACAGACTTTTCTCGAGGAGTCACCAAAAGGCCCAACTTTTTTCAGTATGACGTCATCAGCATGTTCTTGATTTACTCTTTTCTTGCCTTTCTTGAGCAAGCAGTACTGCCTATATTTCCAGGTAGTCACGTCATGATGGACCCATGTAGTAGCGCACCCGTTCAGTTCAGTGTAAACAGCATTTTAAACAAAAATCGATAACATCCTACCTAGAAATTGCTTATTCAGTGCGATATATGGTGTTTTTCTGTCAATATATCATGTCCTCACAATATTCAGCCGTTTCATTGAACAGACTGAACATTTTTTTTGCTGTCTCACAATATTAGTGCATTTCTCGAACATCAGTGTTACAAAAATCAACGGCTGAATGATAAGTTTGGTTAATTTTTTGCGCCAACTGGTTTTGTACGTAGATCTCATCTATCCGACCCTACAGACCGACGTGATCATCTGTGGTCTATTATCTGGTGATAGTGCTGTTATTCTGATAATAACTTTCGAGTGACTCCAAATGAATAGACGATTTGCTTCGTATCTTAGACTCCAGAAGGCGAAAGCTTTGTATATACAACACATTGTATCATCTTGGAAAATGTTGTATGTTGTTAGAAAAATTGTTATAGTTCAGGATTTGTTCACCATCTATTGAAACTTTAATGATGTCTAATACTTTGTAAGTTAGTACTTTTGCAATAAATAAAAAATGGACCCAAAATTCTACTGTCGCCCTACCGACGTCGTCATCTGTCGTCATCGTCATGGCGACACATGCCGACAACGAAAAGTTATGGTTCAAGACGAAGTGTAGCTGACCATCTTAGAGATTTATTTTTTTTTTAGATTTAAATTCTGAAACAAAAGATCTGAACTCAACCGAAATTCGTTTGACACCCATAGGGAATATTTGGAATGAAAAGAAACCAAAAACTTCTTTAAAGCTTACCTAATGTAGGAAATAAGCCTTGTAAACAACAAAATGGTAGAACTAGCTAAGAGAGAAACGAAACGCATGCTATGGTGGTGAACGCGTTACTCCCCAGAAAGGACAATAGCGTGTTCGTTCCCCACCGCAGACACTTGCGATTTGGAGTTTTGCAAACATCTCAGCCTTATATAAAATGATGAGTGCTTAAAAAAAGCTGCTTACCTCGCGAATAAAAATTTTAGTGTAAAATTGTGTCAGCTGAAGTTGTAAAAGTATTTGGCTGAGTGGATTGTGTCTCTATTTGACATTTCCGGGCTCGGGAGAAGACGGAACGGACGAAACTTCAGCTATTGTGTGTTAATATATGCTATAATAAAAACCTCGTGTTTGCTCACTGAAGGAACGCAGTTCACTATTGAACAATACCGAGGTTAAAAGAAGGTCGGTTATGGGATTTATAAAAAGAACGTTCTAGAATTTTCCCAACTCTTTCTGTATTTTCTTTAAGAGCTTGTTGACATAACAATCCGATGTTATTCATTCACGTAATCAGTTAAAAATTTTGTGGATGACAATCCAATAGTGTGTCCGCCAATGAAATTGAATTTCCAGCGATTTCCAGAAAATGAAGTGGACGGATTCGAACGACTCGAATTCAGCTCGTATGCCAAACCAACTGAGAATCTCTATCGAATATATATTTTTTGTATCACCCAATAGACGTCTAAGGAATAAAAATAGTTAAAGAGTTCGATTTCTTTACGCAGTACAATTTTCAACGAGATACGAAGCAGAAAAGAAATAGCGGGAAGAAAACAAGAAGACGCAAGACCGGGAAGATCAATAGAGAAAAAAGCTCTAACTACATCTTCAGAAAGAGCACTTCAATCACCCTGGCTTCAGGGCGTTCCTATACAACAAAAAATCGTTCCACACTAAAACCTTTAAACCTGAGAATGATTTCGCCGTTTTCGTTCGGAATCCTAGGTTACCAGTACCAGGAAATACTGCCAAGCTATCGTCAATGTTTTGACTGGTTGGCAATGGTGAAAACCCGGCAAAGTTCTAGCACGGTTTTTGGAAACCATGAAGAAAGAATCTACCTCAACAGTAACTTCCTACATAGGTGCAAGTTGTTCTGAAGTCTAGACCAGATGATTCTTGAACAGGAAGCGTCCAAGTAACAACTCATTCCAGCAAAAATTTCACACTTGACGTTGTGATGAGCAAAATCGTTTTTTAAGGAACGACTTTTTGTTCACATCCGAAACTTTTCTTGCTTAAAAAACTTTTTTAAGCCACTAACTTCAAATGACGTAGCTTTTTCAATGTTTTTCACAAGATTTTATGTGTTGGGTTTATTTCAGAACAAATGATCTGCGACAGCCTCTTGTCAAACTGATCAGAGCTTCCGCTTAGTCTAAGTTTTCTGCAAGTAGTCTCAATACTACAATTCTCTATGAATGAAAATATGAAAAGCACATTTTCTTGCAGCCTTTACTTCAAAGCAAAACTAGTCTCTATGCGATACGAAAAGTGACATCCCAAGAGTGAACCGTGCGGACACTCTATTCGTACCACTGTGATGAATGAAGCAAAGTTATTGAACCGCTTAGCTATTGAAATTCATACAATATCTACCAAAGAGTATTCCTGAAAATATTAATTTACAAACAGAAAACGAACGACGGATCGCAGAGAGAAGTTCTACGAATTCTATTACTTCACTGCTATTCTTATTATTCCTACCAGCGGTTTACTTCCTCATCGTGGCTAGGAGGTGTTCTTGGGTGTCGGGCTGCGATGTACAGCGGATGATTCATTCCCTGGCAGGGTCTCCCAAACTCAGAAAAAGTCCGGCGCTTCCATCAAGAAGCCTAGCTAAGAGTAAACCAATAGCAGGACCCACCACCGTCCTGGTATTAAGGTCGCATGGTGGCAAATCTCCCTCTGATCCACAGGGGCTGCGACTGCCTGTAGTGGTGAAGACCTAGGGAAGACTTTCGCCAGGCTGACCTAGGGATTCCAGCGGACCACAATGGCTTAACCAGCAAATCTCCGAAAAATGGTGAATATGCTGGGGCCCGCACAACGAGTGAGGACGGGCCGTTCAAGTATCAAGCAAGTAAGTATTCTCCTTATTCTCAATATTCAGTTCACAGAAGATCCTTTAGATTTTTGTTTAACGCATTCTCATTAGTTGATCTGTGATTAGAGATGAGTTTATGAAAAACATACCTTATCCAAAGGAAAAACGTTTCTCAATTTTTTATTGTCACATCTTTTTTACGACGTAATGCAGACATCATCCGTACGAAATCTGAACAAAGCCAGAGAGAAATTTAGAAGGTCACCAGCAGTGTTAATTCCTTTCTATAAGGCTTCACAGCTGACNTGGCTCGACAGGAAGGCGAAGACGCAACGTCGAGGCGAACAACAACAAGCATGGACCATCGACTCGGATCACCGGCTCTGAGGAAGACGAAGACGTCGAAACGTTAGCCGAAAATAAATATATTTATCAACCTCGTGCAAGCTTATCAAGAAAGAATACATATTGATTTGTCACACCGAGGTTTAGGGAAGGTCGGTTTCGAAATATTACTACGCTTTGTGCTAGCTGATAACACACCGACCTCTGCACGATGTGCGCAATGATATATGTCCGGAAGAAATACAAGTTGTTACCACCGGACATTGTCATTATATATCCACCATCAGCATCGTGTATAAAAGGGCATCACTGAGTGAGGATGCCTCATTCGAGAAGATGGCTCGCTGAGGAAGATCTGGCTCGACAGGAAGGCGAAGACGCAACGTCGAGGCGAACAACAACAAGCATGGACCATCGACTCGGATCACCGGCTCTGAGGAAGACGAAGACGTCGAAACGTTAGCCGAAAATAAATATATTTATCAACCTCGTGCAAGCTTATCAAGAAAGAATACAAAGGAAAAACGTTTCTCAATTTTTTATTGTCACATCTTTTTTACGACGTAATGCAGACATCATCCGTACGAAATCTGAACAAAGCCAGAGAGAAATTTAGAAGGTCACCAGCAGTGTTAATTCCTTTCTATAAGGCTTCACAGCTGACCAAAGACCCCCATTACTGAAGCTTCACTACACTCGTTCGAGGTGGGTAAGTGTGAGTGAGGTGAACTCGAACAACATCCAATCTTTCCGGCAAGGTGGACTTCTGGCTAAATCGACGTGCACTTTACAATTCGCTTACACGCCAACACAGCCAACCTACGTTTGAATATGAATATAGCCTATCTAAAGGGTTTAACTTAAGCATAGCAAGGATATATCTCATCTCTCATTTGCGCCTTTAGTCGCTAAGCTTTATTCCATAACGTTGCTTCGAAGCATTTTTATTCTCCATCATCTTATTCATTTTCCTCACTTGTTCCTTGCTTCTGTTATGTTTTGGATATAGTGCTCCGGACACTTTTATTAGATCTGACAACAAGAGCAGATGTGGTAGCATCGAAAATTTGTTTTACACGACCCGTCATTCGCATCTGTTGCGCGGATCCTAGCACTATTCACATTCTATTGGTACTCTCGCCTCCATCGTCCACGAAGGTTTTCCAACACTTTAAAGTGTGGATTCGGCTGTTGCTTGAGGATTTTCCTTTCATCATAAATGTCGTTTAATACTGGTCCTGTCCACTATCCCTGGAATGGTATGATAGCCGAACTAGAGCATTCCTACTTGGATTACAGAGAGCGGACTTCTCCCGGGCAAGCATAGGCCAAATTTCCGACCCCGCACGGATTAGAGGCTTGGTGAGTCTGAATCGAACCAGCACCATGCTCATGATGGGCGTCGAATGTTGTGTAGGCTAAGTATATAACTCATTGTCAAGTTGCCTGCAACTACACGGCCAATCACCTCCATAACCAAACAGAAAGTACTAAAGCAAGTTTAC